AGGATAATGCACTGGATTGAAAGGTTGGCGGTTCAAACTCACAAGCTGCTCCTTGGGAAGCCTATACAGGTTCGTTATGAGTCTGAACCAACTCTAAGACACTTAACAACAATGGAATCCTGGTGTGACTCTGTAGGAAAACAAGGTTGGTTTGAACTGCAAGGTGGCGGTTCTTGGATAAGAATCCAGTCACTCCTCAGAAACCCTGTATAGGGTTCCTATGAGTTGGAATTGGCTCAATGGCACTTAACAACAGCAACAACAACAACTGTGTGGTGCTTGTAGGATAAGTACTGGATTGCTAACCACAAAGTTGGCAGTTCAAACCCACCAGCTGCACTTCAGAAACCCTGTACAGGGTCACAATGAGTTGAAACCGGCTCAAAGGCACTTAACAACAAATAACATTAATCAAAACATCTTTATATTTACATGTTAGGAATGGCCCTTAGTAGAAAGAATAAGAGTTCCGAATATAGAAATAGTTGTGAAAACCCAGCCTGTACAGCTGTGTCCCCATGGAAATCAACTAAGTAGCTGCACCTGGTCCTCAAGAGTAAGTCATTTCCTGTGTGCTGGGTGGGTCGGCTGCAAGACCAGTAAGAAGGGAGGAAGAAGATGACCTTCCTGTAAATTTTACACAGAGAAATTAAACTTTTGGGTGTACTCAAATTTTAGTCTCACAAGAGATTTTTACGTTTGAGCAACACAATGGAAGACCAGATTTTAAGTTGTGTTGCACTTGTCTTCCAGAGACATCTACTATTTAAGTGATTTTTGTATGAGCTGAAAGATTTTTTTTTTTTGGACCTGAAGTATTTCAACTGAATCAAACTCCTTTTGTTCAAACATAATGTACGTTGTGTGTTTTCCCTTTAATAAAGAGAGCAGACTGTGAAACGGGGGAAAGATGGGTTGTTGCTTCCCTTCACATTGAAGACACCCACAGTACACGCTGGTGACTAAAACACCCTGATTCACTACTAATGAATTGATCTCAAGGTCAAAGGTATCTGACCATTGCTAAAGAAACTACCTGAGAATTGTTTCTTCTAATGAAGGGAGTAAATGAATCAAATCAGTGTAAGACTGATATAAACTGTAATACTCTTCTTAGTCAAGGAAGAGTAAGACAAGTTTCCCAGGAACTCATCACTGTTTCCACACAGATTGACTAAGTATGGTGAAAGAATACAGCCCTGGTACACATCTTTGACCTTGTTGCCTCTTGGTCTATGTGTAGGTTTCTCATGAGCACGATTAAGTGTTCTAGATTACTCATTCTCTGCAATGTCCATAGCTTGTCATGATCCACAGGGTAGAAAACCTTTGCATAGTCAATAAAGCACAGGTAAACATCTTTCTGGTATTCTCTCCTTGCAGCCAAGATCCATCTTAGGTCTGCAATGATATCCCTTGTTCCATGTTCTTATCTGAATCCAATTTGAACCTCTGGTAGTTCCTGTCAGTGTACTGTTGTAATTATTTTTGAATTGTCCTTAGCAAAATTTTACTTGCATATGATACTAATGATATTGTCCCATGAGTTCTGCATTCCATTGGGTCACCTCTCTTTGGAATGGGCATAAATATGGATCTCTTCCAATCAGTTGGCCAGGTGGCTGTCTTCCAGATTTCTTGGCATAGATGAGTGAGTGCCTCTAGTGCTGCCTCAGTTTGTTGAAAGATGGTCAGTTTGTAATTCCATCAATTCTCGGAGCCATTTTCATTGCCAATCCCTTCATGTATATGTGACATTTATCTTCAGTACCCTTGGCTATTGATCATATGCTATCTATTGAAGTAATTGAACATCAGCCATTTCTTTTTGGTACAGTGACTCTGTGTGTTCCTTCCATCTTATTTTCAGGTTCTCTTCATCATTCATTATTTTGCCAAAAGAATCTTTCAGTATTGCAAGTCAAGGCTTGATTTTTTTCTTCAGTTCTTTCAGCTTGAGAAATGCTGAGCGTGTTCTTCCCTTTTGTTTTTCTAACTCCAGGTCTGTGCACATTTCATTATAATACTTGACTTTGACTTCTTGAGCTGCCCTTTGAAATTTTCTGTTCAGCTTTTACCTCCTCATTACTTTCATTTGCTCTAGCATCTCTACACTGCAGAACAAGTTTCAGAGTCTCTTCTGACATCCATTTTGATCTTTTCCTTCTTTCTTGTCTTCTTAATGACCTTTTTCTTTCATCCTGTTTGGTGTTCTTGATGTCATACCACCACGCTTCTCATTTTCCATCATCAGTGTCTAATGCATCAAATCTGTTCTTCAGATGATCTCTAAATTCAGGTGGGATATGTTCAAGGTCATATTTTGGTTCATATATGAGCATTTATGGTCTGTTTTACAGTCTACCCTTGGCTTTGTTTTGGTTGATGATACGGATATTTTCCACTCTCTTTTCCCACAGATATAGTCAATTTGTTTCTTGTGTATTCCATCTTGTTAAGTCCATGTGCATAGTTGCCTTTTATGTTGTTTTAAAAGGTATTTGAAATGAATGAGCTATTTGTCTTGAGAAATTCTATCATGCAATCTCTAGCACCTTTCCTATCACCAAGGCCATATTTTCCAGTTACTGACTGTTCTTCTTTGTTCCCAACCTTTGCATTCCAATCAACAGTACTTGTCAATACATCTTGATTGCATGTTTGATCAATTTCAGTCTGTATGCTGAGCAAATAATAAGAGCTTATATGAAGAAGAACATGACATCAGGATTGGAGGAAGAGTCATCAACAACCTGTGATATGTAGAGGATACAGCCCTGCTTGCTGAAAGTGAATAGTACTTCAAATACCTACTGATGAGAAGACCAAAGACCACAACTTTCACTGTGGGTTGCTCCTCATTGTAATGAAAACAAAAGTCCTCACCACTGTACCAATAAATAACATCGTGATAAATGGAGAAAAGATTGAAGTTGTCCAAGACTTCATTTTGCTTGGATTCCACCGTCAATACTCATGGAAGCAACAGTCAAGAAATCAAAGGATGTATTGCATTAGGCAGATCTGTTGCACAAAGCCTCTTTAACGTGTTCAAGAACAAAGATTTCATTTTGGGGACTAAAGTGTGTCTGATGCAACCCAAGGCATTTTCAGTAGCCTCCTATACATGTGAAAGTTGGACAGTGAATAAGGAAGACTGTAGAAGAATTGATGCATTTGAGTTATGGTGTTGGAGATGAATATTAAGGTACCGTGGACTCTAAGAAGAACAAACGAATCTGTGTTGGAAGAAGTCCAACCAGAATGCTTCTCAGAAGCCAAGATGGCCAGATTTTATCACTCGTACTTTGGGTGTATTATCAGGAAGGACTTAGTCCCTGGAGAAGAACATCATGCTTGGCAAAAGTGGAGGGACAGCAAAAAAGAGGGAGACCTCAACAAGATGGATTGACACAGTGGCAGTAAGAATGGATTCCAGTGTACCGGCAATTGTGAGGATGGTGCTGAGTCAGCGGTGGCACTTAATAACAACAACATCGTCATTTACAGTAAGGCAACACGTGCTTGTACGTCTGTAATACGGTGAACGCAGTGTGTATTTGTCATCATGTCATAAAGGTTGATCAGTGCTGATCTTATTCTCTGTTCCCTTAATAGTTTTGTGTTCTTAATATTCTTGAACAATGGATGTAAGAATAAAAACCACATTAGTTAGCAACCAGGTTCTGTCCATTACTGAGTTGATTTTAAGAGGTTTACATAACATGAAATTTTTATGCTTAGTATAGTATTTCAGACGTTTCCGCATCTCCACAATGCGATCTAAAGCCTCTTTGACTTCTTTTGATAATTTGCTGTTATGAGCAGCTACAAGGCTGTGATTACTTCAGGATACTCATAAAAATTAACTGTTTGCTTGGATTGGTGTATTGTTGCCCAGTGCTGCAGCTAGAAACTTGGGGTATTTTATTCTCGAGCACACTTTAAGGGTGTTGCCATAAGAGCCACTAAATACAACCCAGGTACTTGGTGTGAGTCCCATTACTTTGCTGTTTCAGTTAGAATGTTGACCATATCAACAAATTTAGCTTACTGCTGAGGTAGTAGAGACTGGCAATACTCAAATCTCCTGTTTGGCTCTGTCCATAAAATCGGTGTTCCAGGAGTTAGTAGACAGTGCCAAATCTCAGCATAGTCAACCCAGGGTTAATTCATTGATTATCAAGTTTCCACTCGCAGGCTTCTCCCGTGGATCGCCAGAGATCCTGAGCCTCCAGGCTTGTAGATGGTATCATTAATGAAGTATCTCTGTTGTCAGAATAGCAAACATTTTGACTAAAGTGGTCAAGCTTTTGTAGGAACCAGTCTTTGCTCAGTGACGTCCATTCCCTGAGGGAACTGTGCACTGGAATAGAAGAGTAGCAGCCATTGCAGCTCCTTCAGAACTCAGGCCACAGCCATCTTGTGGTTCTTAGTTCTTAGTCCTTTTACAGTAAGATATCTCTGGACATTTCTGTGTTTATTAATTAACTGAACAAGAATTTTTATTTAGTCTTATAGCTCAGTAGTTACTAGTCGGGCTGCTAATCTCACAGTCAACAATTAGAAGCTACCAGCGGTTCTGGGAGAGAAAGATGATGCTTTCTACTCCTGTAAAGGTTTATAGGATTGGTATGGGTCGTGAACCGACTCCACAGCACATAACCACCACCATCACTTGTTTTGCTAGGGCATGAGTTGGAAACTTGTGATATTGGCCTGATAAAAACTCATTTCAGCATCGCTGTAGTGTGATTTTAGGTATCACCTTTAGAAAAGGTTTTTGAGGTATTTGTGCAAAACTACTTTAAAACTGATTTTTCTGAGGGGGAAGATCTGCTAAAGAGATTTCCCTCAAACTTTTACACTGGATTTTATGTGGGCCTTTATGCCCACATTTATTTGAGGGGTGGGGAGTAAGAGGGATTTATTAGTCTATTAGCTATTCTGAGTTGCATTATATTATTAGGCCAATTTTAATGTTATGTTGTTAATTTTAGTCCCTTCCAGATATGCAGCATATTCAGGAAGAAAACTTATCTTCCCCTCCATTGGGTCCTCCCAACTATCTACAAGTTTCCAAAGACTCTGCCAGTACTAGTAGCAAGAACTCTTCTTGTGACATGGATGACTTTGTTTTGGTTCCACACAACATCTCATCAGCAGACCACTCATGTGAGAATCCTTTCTACTTGTCCACATTGTGTTCTCAGTAAGCGGCATTCATAACATGTGAATATTAAAGTCTTTTGATTAATACTGGTTTTTTTTTGTTAAGTACCTTCGAGTCAGTTAAGACTCATAGTGACCCTGGTGGATTTGAACCAGTGATCTTGTGGTTAGCAGTCCAATGCTTATCCTGCAGTGCCACACCAATACTCCCCAAATTATATGCTTTTCTAAGCTCTGTTTAATCATCTTCTGGAAGCAGTAAATTTGGATCTGAAGTAAATGAAAACGTCATAGGAAGTTACCACAAATTAGTTGAATTGTAGCCAAGCAGCAAGAAGTGGAGAAACTAACAGATAGAGCAACATTAACTTGAAGTCAAGAAATTAAAGGGAGAATTAATTTGGGGAGAAAACCAGGAGTCAAAGATGTTTAAACACAGTCTGGATATCCTTCTGAAAAAACACTCAAGTTTGCATATATACTTCTTAAATCGATAGGATGAATTTTTATAAAGGAACAGGAAAGCATATTAAAGTGTACCGGGAATCGTACAAAAAAGAGAAGTTAGCCAAAACTATTGAAAAAGAAGGGACTGTGGGTTGTTTGTGAAAGAATTGGATCAGAAAACCTGAAAATTGATTACTCTGAAAATTTAATATTATCAAATGTTGACTATGTATAGGCAGAGAAGTACGTCTAATGATAAGAAGTCTACTTAGTTGGTAGTGAAGTCCTTATTTTATACCTAGTGGGACCGATAGGCAAGTGCTTTGCTACTAACCAAGATGTTGGTGGTTCTAACCCACCCATAGACCTCTTCGAAGAAAACCTGGTTGTCTGTTGCCTTAAAGATTATAGGCAAGAAAACACTAAGGGAGGTCATTTCTACTTTGTAATGTATGGAGCTGTGGTGAGTTGGAATTGACTTGTTAACTGAGTGTTTTTAATGCTAGGCACTGCTGTTGTTACTGCTGTGTGCTGTGGAGTCGGTCCCGATTCATGGTGACTCTGTACGGGGTTTCCGAGGCTGTAAATCTTTATGGGAGCAGAAAGCCTCATCTTTCTCCTGCAGAACAGCTGGTAGTTTCGAACTGCTGACTGTGAGATTAGCAGCCTGATTCGTAACCGTGACGCTACCGGAGCTCCTACTGCTCGTTGTTATAAAAGTCATACTCTCCAGACCAAACACCCTATAAGGTTTATTGGGGGAGGAAAAACATGACCAGTACAGCGGTATGGCAGTTTATGACCAATGAGAACTGATGAAAGAACTGAGCGTTAGTACAGGGGCTTTATTTCTTAAAAAATAAATAAATAAAATAATTGAAATGTCTAAAATGATGAAATATTTCAAACGAAAAAGAATACAAAAAGATACTTAAGTTACTCACCATCATGATTTTATGTGTGTCAATATTTTATCATAATTCCTCTATTTTTTATCAAAAGAAATACATGCTATAGGTGCGGCTAAAGTTCCTTTCCCTTTCTGCTGTTGCCCGAGGCATATTCTTCTTGTAGATGCTTTTGTGCCTCTATTAATCATGTATGCATATTTAACATAGAGTGCTTTTGCAATTTTATAGTTGTTGTAAGGATTGTATTGTGCCTCTCCCCCAAATATGTGTTGTAAATCCTAGCACCTATATTTGTAATCCCACTTGGGAATAGGTTTTTCTTTATTATGTTAGAGTTTATCAGGGTAGGGTATGCTTTAAGCTCATCATAGTCAAGATGAAAAATGGCTAAATTAGGCACAGAGATGCCCGTGGAGATGGGGAAAGATACGATGCCAGGCCACAGGAAGATAGATGGCCAAGGAAGAGGGACAGAAGCTGAAGTGACGGCCCTTCCCCGGAACTGACCCCTGAGAGACTTGTAGCCTCCTGGAGTCTGGGTGTGGCACTGTTGGGTATGTACAGGGTTGGCGGTTCAAACCCACTCGCTACTCCTGGAAAAGGGTCGCTAGGAGTTGGAACCACATGACAGCACTAAACAACAGCCTCCTGAAGTGTGAGAAATACATTTCTTTTTGTGGCATTTCTGCTCAAGCATACTAGATGACTAAGACAATTTAAAATAAGTGCAATGGAGAATGTTTGCTGTTTATTTCTGTAGCTCATTTATCTTAATAATCTATATTTTATATTGCAGCTAAACCATCTCCCTACTGATTGATACTTGAGTTGTTTCTGTTGCTTCAGAATTACAAAATGTGTTCTAGCAGACATCCTTATGTACATGTGCCAACACTTCTGCCAGTGGAAACCTATCAATTGTTGGTAAAAACAAGTTATAGGCAAATACTGTAGTTTATGCAAACACCATGCACTATACATATTTTTGCAAACTGTGCAACCCTTTTCATGTTAGTTTCCTGTGACTGCTTTGCAGGTTAGATTCATGTGCCGGTTTCTATGTTGGCACACTATATGAGGAAAAAAGCCGCTAATGGTTTCTGCCATGTTTCCTGTTAAAATGATAGTCTTCTCTATTTTTTCCTAAAAACTTAAATGTTTTTTCATATTTAACTTTACCTGGAATTCATTTTTATATATAATCCAATTATTTCAGCACCATTTATTGAATATTCTGTCCTTTCTCCATAGGTATGCAATGCCAGATTTGTCATTTCAGGTTTCTCTATAGGCATGAGTTTGTTTTATAATTTTCTTCTATTCCCTTGGTCTGTCTCTTTATAATAATTCTTCAGTTTATGTGTATATATGTGTTGAGAGGGAGAGGGGCGAGTTTTGTGGGATTATTCAGAATTATCATGCTTGTTCTTAGCTTTCCTCCCCCTATTTATAGTTTAATTCCTGCTTGAGAAATTATTTTTTAAAAATCTTTTGGAATTTTTATGGGGATTGCATAACATAAAGATCTATTCAGGAACAATAGGCTCTATACAGCATTGAATGATCTATTTACAAATGTGTGTAAATTTCCACTTACTTAGGTTTTCTTTAATGTCTTGGTAAAATTTTTAAGTTTTCTGTATATAAAACACTTTCATAGCTTTTGCTTTATTCTACTTGGCCCCTCTCCCCTTTTTGGGGTACAGGTGTAAATGTCTTTTTCTTCCTTTTAATTTTTATAATTTCTCTTACCAAGGTCTTTGTGTTGCCAAATCCCAGGCATTATATTTCTGTCTTCATCTTGATGTTTTAATAACATTTGTCATACTGACAACACCCATCTTTTCAGTTGTCAAAAATTGTTGTTGTTGTTGTTGTTGTTGTCAGGTGCCATCGAGTCGGAACCGACTCATAGCGACCCCCATGCACAGCAAAACGAAACAGTGTCCTATCCTGGGCCAACCTCACTACCGCTGCCACACTTGAGTCTATCAGTGATGTCACCTGGCTGATCCATCTCGTTGGGGGGGGTCTTCCTCTTTTTCTCTGACCCTCCACCCTACCCAGCATGACATCCTTCTCCAACGATTGTTTCCTCCGGACAATATGTCCAAAGTAGGAGAGACGAAGCTTAGCCATCCTGGCCTCCAAGGAGCACTCTGGCTGCACTTCTTCCAAAACAGATCTATTGGTTCTTTTGGCAGTCCATGGCACCCTCAGTATTCTCCTCCAACACCACAGTTCAAAGGCATCAATTCTTCTACGATCCTCCTTATTCACTGTCCAGCTTTCGCATCCATATGAGGCTATTGAAAACACAATGGCCTGGGTCAGGTGCACCCTAGTCCTCAAGCTGACATCTCTGCTCTTCAATACTTTAAAAAGTTCCTGTGCAGCAGATTTGCCCAGTGCAATACGTCGTCTGATCTCTTGACTGCTATTTCCGCGAGTGTTGATAGTTGATCCAAGAAGAATGAAGTCCTTGACAACTTCAATCTTAATTAGTTATTATAAAATACATCATAAAATATTTAAGATGGCTTAGAAGTAATACAGTACCAAACACTTGTGTACTTACTTCTGATTTCCTTTTACCTTTTTCCTCTCATTTTTGTCATTTTGTTTTATTGCTCTACTTTTAGAGAAATTTCTTTAACACTTTGTTCTAATGCTTTTATTGAATGCTCCCACATTTTAAGTTTTTATAAACTCGTTTTTTTTTCCTGCATAGTTCTTATTACAGGGTATATTTTAGTTTCTCTGAGGTTACTAATGACAGTTTACATGTTACATACATATGTATGTATGTTCTTACTTCTTTACTCTTGTGTACATTTTTGTGCTGCTAAACTCTGGGAGTTAGCTCTCACTCAGCCCTCATCTGCCTGTATCAACAACAATTGTGCCATAGTGCATAACTGACCACTACTTTTATTTGTCATTTAAAAAAATTTCTTTTTCACAGTTTAGTCCTTTTTTTTTTTTTCCACCAGTTTGTTTTGAGTATAAGAATCCTTCATGTATATGTAATCCAACTTGAACAATTTTCAACAGATAGCCTGTTTTGTTCGCTTGCCCAAACATTAAGCAAATTTCAGATAACTATTCATAAATACTTCATTATGTGTAAAATAAGCACGGTTTATATCAAACTTAAAAAGATTAGCAGTACAAAAATTAATATCAAGTATGTAGTCCATGGAGTCCGGGTGTGGTGCTGTGGGTTTATGCGCCAGACTGCAAAGCCATTTGAACTGCAGGGTCGGTGGTTCAAACTCACCAGCTGCTCCTTGGAAACCCTATACAGGGTCGTTATGGGTCAGAATCGACTCCACAGCACCCAGCAACAACACCAATCTAGTCTATATTAAATTTTTACAGTTACGTATTTTTTTGTAGTTTGTTTGCAGCAAGGTATACGCATTACATTTGATTGATACGTCTCTCATGTTTCTTTAAGTCTGTAGGTTTTTCTCCCTACTTTTTATTTTCTTATTATTTGTAGAAGAAATGGAATCATTTGTCCTGGAGGTTTTGCCTAATGGTGTCAGTTTGCCTGATACTTGCATATTTGGTGTTTAGATTTGAAGTTTTTGGCAAGAATGCTACAAAGGTGATATGGTATATCTCTGTTATATCTCATCAGGGGGCACTTAATGTCTATTTGTTTCTTACTGTGATGTCAATCTGGATGTTGTTGTTGTTGTTACGTGCCGTCGAGTCGGTTCCGACCCATAGCGACCCTGTACAGGGTTTCCGAGGGTGTAAATCCTTACGGGAGTAGAAAGCCTCATCTTTCTCCCGC